TTTGCCCCCTCTCCCCCTTCCCCCTCCCCCCAACACACTTACCTGCTGGGTGCTGTTCCACACACAATGCTGTGTTCCTGGCGATGTGCAGCAGGCTGCTGCTGGGCTTTGGGGGGTTGTGGCCCATCCCTCTGGCCTTTTGCATATCATTCGCAGGTTGTCTGTGTACCACTGGTGATACGTGTACCACAGTTTGGGATCTGCTACTCTAACTCAATGGTTTTCAAGTTTTTTAGACTTGAGGCACCCCTCTATAACTCTTGTGAATTGAGTGGCACACCATTTATTCATTACAGCGCTTATCTCTTGGCAGTGGGGCTGGGTAGTCAGGGCAGAGTTGTGGCCAGGCAGAGCCTGAGCCTGCCTGTATCTGTTTCTCCTCACACTTCCTGCTGCACCTCTTGAAGGATCTCGCTGTACCTCAGGGTGCTGTGGCACCCAGTTTGAGAATAACTGCTGTAACCTTTTGTTGAAACTTTACTTTGTGTAAAGGCTGATGGCTTTAAGTTGCATTTTTGACTTCCCCTCAGTTTGCAACAAATTTTAAGATAAATCTCTTCTGAATAATGGTTATACTTTCACCGTGCTACTCCAGTGTAAATATGCAGAAGTGGCTCTGAAAAGCTGCATTTAGTGAAGATAGATAAATTACCTCCAGTATTCTGTAGCTTTCTCTTTTATCTACCTATATTTACTGTGAGGAAATAGTTAACTCTAGTATCTACTATAATAAAGTTAACTATAGGTCTTACAGAGTTGTCTAAAACAATTTAACTTTTTTAGTATCACCACAGTGAATTACCTGTAATCAACAAGACCATTTTTTGAGAAACCTGCGTACACAAGTGAGCCTTTGCTGCCTTTGTAGCAGTGAAGTCCCATGCTCTTTGCAGAGCAATTCATGTTTGTACTGACACTATCAGTGGGGTTGGTGCACAAACAAGGATAGCGCTATTCTGGTATTTGTCCCAATAGACAAAAATGGAAAACAACCTATCTATCAAATGGAAAAGGACCAAGCATATTGTATGTGGGATCAGCTAGGAGGAAGGTAAACTTCTTATTTTCATGTTGCAAGGTATTAGAGAATTGTGTTGACTATTTAAAAAAAAAAAAAAAAAAAAAAAAAA